ACAGCTCCTGTGATTTTCCCACAATTCCCGCTCGAGTGGTGTTTACACATTGATAGTAGATCTTTAGGACTAACGCGTTCTGATTGGTCGGGCGTTGTTCGGCGTTGGTTCTGGCGGCCGATTCCTCTCCAGCGCCCTCTCCCCGTTCCGCATTCCGAGCACGCGGCGTAGCCGCGTGCCGCCCAGTTCGCGGCCGCTAGGCTGTGCTTTGGCCGTGGGTGAGGGATAGGGTTACGGTAGATGTGGGGTGAGCAACCTAGCCTTGCTCGCGTGAAGAACGTAGCCTTGCTACGTTCATCATCGGTTAGTCCTAAAGAGTTACAAATATCAACGTGTAACCAAGGCTCCAATTCTCACAAGCACGCAAGCACACCAGCACACACCTACGTTTGCATCAGTGGCTCTCTAGGTTCGGGCGAGGGTATGTGTTGGGCTACGATGATAGTGTATGTTATAGTATGTTGGACTGGTCTACATATACTGCTGCTGCTGGGTAGTACAGCTGCTGACATGATGACTGCTGGATCTTGGGAGTGTACGATTTTTTAATTGGAGGATATGCAGCATACCATGATATCCTGGCCTGGTTGGGCTTGAATTGCTCCTTTTGCTGTCCCCCTGTCTTTGCGTTGCTTGCTAGATTCGGGCGAAGGCATGTATGTATGTAGAGTTAGTGATGTGTGTCTCTGTGAAAGGATATGGGGAGAGATTCATGGTGGCATCCTCATTTAGAGCAGCGTGCATTGTACACGAGCCCCCTACAAACAGCACTGAAACGTCTTTCCAGGACTGAGCGTGATTTTTTTTTTTTCGAATATTGGCCATTCCAGGGATCTTGATATACCCGCTGGCACTAAGGTCTTTTCATTGGTCATTGGGTACACGGTCGATGCGAAAAATACAGACACACCTATACCTATTGACATGCCAACACCTGGCGTGGAGGGATACAGGACGGCAACTCCATGGCATGCCACAACACCAGCATGTACAAATGATCAATCAATGATCTGTCAGGACGCCTGTAGACCCAAAATGGAAACGAATCTCTGCAGTCCACCGCGAACAACCCGAGAGGTCCGCCGCTTGCCGACTGCCAGGTTGCTCTTGTGACGTACTGCAATGACGTGGCCGCACCAAATGGGGAGCTATCGCTCCCGAGAAGCACACACCAACGCGTACATGGCCTCTGTGCGGTACTGGCACGATGTCTATGCATGTGACACTTTGAATTGACCCTCGTCCGACGGACGGAAAGCCACCAATTCGTCTGTGCATTTGAGGTTCGACAATCCACAGGAGATTGCCCCACAGACCAACACATCCCACACACCTTTTTATTTTCGGCGCCAGTGACGTGCAACAACGATGCTCAGTCACCCCCTGGTGAACAACAAACGTAGGTGGAAAACAAACTTTTTTCTCGTTCCTCGCTCATCCTGTACGAAACCCTGCTAATGGCTGTTTTCTAAACCCGCCATGCAACGCCATGGGCACTTCATGGGCTGCCCATGAACCGGCCATGGGGGTCCCATGAAGTGCCCACGAATAGCCCACCGTGGGCACTTCAACCTAGAACCTGCCACCGCATATCAACCTAGAACTTAGCCATCGGCACATCAACCTACGGTAGAACGGAGCCACCCAGCGCCAACATATGTAGCACGTATCGTGTGGGCTTAGGGTTAGGGTTAGGGCACATGGGTTGCCCGTGGGCAGCCCATCTGGGTGCCCCATGGGCAGCGCACAACGTGGTGCCCATCGGTGATTTGGCAAAGCTGCAGAAAGTTGTGGGATATCCGGTACACGTAGCTGGTGCTGGTATCACTGATATAAATCATCAGTGACTCGAAATAAGTCCAGTACCCAGCCGGGTTTCCCCCCACTCACTGACAAGACTCCACCACATCCCGTTCGAACGTGGGTATATCTCGAATGGGTAGCCTTTCTGTGTGTGTATATTTTTCCGAAGTAGGCGAGGGCGGCGTTGTGGATGAACGGATGAACAACAAGCGCAGCAAAAAAGTGGGCGATTGCTCCAGCCGGTTGATTTGTGCGTGCTGGTGTCGGGGTTTGAAAAAATGATGTTTGTTGTGCTAGGTGGAGGGCACATATCAAAATGCTTTCTACGCACCTCAGAGGTTCGCTGTGCCGTGTCCTGCGAATTGGTCGCACGTCGGGAGGACCAGAAGCAGCGTGTCGCTCCAGCCGTAGAGAAGTTCCTCCTTTCCGGCACCTTTTTGAATAGCCGGTGGAGCAAGGGAGTGAGACGGGACCTGCGCTCCTACCGTAGTAACCGAAAAGAGCAGTAGACTGCTGTGTACGTACAAAGTTGTAGGTGCCTCTTGAAGGAAGAAATCCGAGAACCGCTGCGAACCTGGAGGTTCTCTGCTGTAGAGAGGTAGAGAGTAGAGAGTGACACGTAGAGATAGCAAGCGGCAGCGGGGCGTTGTGTATGTATGTTCGCAAATAATCGTAAAAATGCGGACGGATGCAGGATGCCGCCCAGCCAGGATGCCGTCCCGCCCCACTCGGTCGTTAACCTTTTTAGGTTCACCATGCTCTCTCTCTCCCTTCCTCCTTCCTCCCTCCCAACCTCGGCTTGCTCGTTTCAAGACACAAGACACAAACTCTGGAGTAACGGCCAGATATACGTAGCACTTGTATTGTGCGAAGGAGGAGTAGCCACACAAAGTTCGACCATACGTATGTAGGGAAATTCGCGAGCAAATCACAGGTACAGTAGTACTTTCACTGACACGGTGGGGATGCAATGCTGCTTGATCCGAGGCTGAGGAGCTGTTGACAAGAAGTGGATATCGTCTGCCCAAACTCGGAAATCACTGATTCACTTGAGTTTGTATAGATTATTTAAATTCTACACAGTCTTCTACATACACAGTCCCGTTCACAGTCTCGTTTCCGACCCCAAAATATAACAGGTTCGTTCGTGAACGCGGTGCATTGATTTGCGGTTCGTAGAACCTGCTGCACGGTAAAGCGCAATGTACGTACAATGTGTACAACGCACACGCGCCCCAGAGTTCTAAGTACTTTCGAACGAATAATTTCCGACCGGCATAACATGTGAAATTAAGTAAGTAAGACTAAGTGTGGTCCTTCGTGCAATGTACGCACACACCCCGCAGTTCCAACTGCTGTTTTGAACGAATAACTTCCGAGCGGCAGAACTTCTCGAACTTTTAATGTTAAAGTGTGATATTCCCCACGAGCTGCAACGCGCAATGTGCCGGCCTCGGGCAGGTAGTCTAGACGTGGCGGGGCGGGTACCGTGACGTAGCGGTGGCGGCTGGTCCGACATTATCGAAATCATGGAACAACAGCGCCGTCGGATGGGCTGCCCTTCCCCCGCTCGGCCCACCCCCTCCCATTCAGTCACGCAGCATCCTCTCCCCAAATAAAGCACACTCTGCTGCTTCGCCTCTATCTCTTCAAGACACGACGATTGTCTTCGTTATTCCCGAACACGGTCGTCCTCTTCGACAAGTCGGCCTCCTGCTTCCGACCCTCTCGTGCATCGTCCGCGGTTCATTGTATACCCCCATCGCGACGTTTGCACAATGCACACACACGCCCCCGAGTTGAAGTGTTACAGAACGAATAATTTGCGGGCGGTAGAACTTGTCAAATTTTAAAGTTGGAAGTGCGTTCCCTTTCGTGCACGGGACAAGCACACACACGCCCCAGAGGAAGGGAAGTAAGTGTACACCGTGCGGCCGACGTCCGGAACGTATGAGCAACACCGCCGACACACCATGGAGCATGGAGAGCGTTCGACGAGCGGCTGGCAAGCACACGCCTCAATACAAGACGCCGTTGAAAGCACACTTAGACTGAAGAACCCTATAGTTTTTTTATTGTCTTGCTATGCATTCGAAATGTACAGTAGACTTTCAAACGAAAGAGGGCAGTGTCGCAAGTTGGGGTAGCCACAGGGACAAAAAGAGACACCGAACATTCCACAATCTCATCCATCTCGTCTGGTGTGTGCACTGTGCACGCAGTTGTTTAGGTTCGTAGAGTCTGCCTTCATCGAGATACCAGGGGCCGTCTGCGAAATTCCCCAACAAATAGCAGCAGCACTCAGCCTGTGCGCTTTCGGCATCCAGGAGTGTTCCAAGGAACGTTGGTACCGTCACAATCACGGATCTCTTCCAAATCATTGCTGAGCTGACGATCGAGCTAACGAGCGAGTGTGTTCGATTGTTCAATCGTGTACTGTAGACTGCTCACCGCCTGGGGAGGTCTCGGCAGGATTGATATGGTTGAGTGTGGCTGGTAAGTTGTGCACCGGCCGCATCTGTCTTCCACGATGTGGTTGTTTGGGTGTTCTGTGTCCCGCTGTGACAATAGCTACAGTAGAGACGTAGGTGAGTATATACTGACACAGGGTACTTCGCGCATGATGCGGAAAGACTTCAAATTTGATCGGGGGAGAAAGAACCGGAAGAAGGGTGCTTCGTTGTCGTCTGGCCGAGGATATTTACTGGCAACGGTCGCATCGTTGCACCGAACCGTTTCGCAGAAAATCACGTTTCGGGAATTAGTGACGGATCAAAGAGAGCAGCATGTACATGTAGTCTAGTACTTTCGTTGTAGCGAGCGGTATTTGAACTCCCCTTCTGGTGGCACTGCGTACGCCTGCCCATTTCTGCTGAGCGCAGCGGGCCCGTTGTTTAAGAGTGTCTTTCCCCGCTGAACGCGGCGAATCGGCTCGTTGTTCGTTGCTCTTCTCCGCCACAAAACACGACACTTTTCAACCTGCGCCGAACGGTTCTGTGGCATTCACCACCTTGAAAATTCACCGTGAAAATCCGCTGAACCTTCCTTATATTAGGCGAGTCGAGGTCGAGTGAGGAGCCCAAAACGAGAGGTAAATAGAGATCCCCACCACAATCCACAAACAACGGCATCTGCCTTGAACCGATCTCGGTTTCAACCAAGTATCTCGATTCACAGAACCACCAGCTTCTCTCTACATGGGATTGCGTGCTGATCATGTTGCGGCAATTCTGCTGGTCGCATCTCCGTCAGCTGTTATTGGGGTAGATCTCGGCAAGATACAGACAATCACGGCATCCTCCGCCTTCGACGATTTCGCACGGAGCCAGTCGGCATACTCAGCGGCGTCAAAGTGGCACACCAAACGTCTTGCGCATGCACCTGAGGGCTCCAGGGCGCCGTACATCGCCTGTGCCGACTACAAGCAGGGTCGCCACGCCATGACTTCCTTAGAAACTGCTTTCACCGAATCCGCCGTACACCGCGTCTCAAACACCGAGACTGACGGATCCTGCTTCATCGTGACAGCCTTGCCATCGTCTGCCACCGCCATGATCAGTGCTCCTGAGGACTTCGCTCTACTCAGCGCGGCCCCGTTTCTGCCCTCCCTGAAGCTTGCCACCAGGCTGCTTGACCACGGCCCCGACACATCACCGCACGTGGGCGCTGCCGATGACTTCAACCTCTCGGACCTCTCGGCACCCCTGCGATCGACCTACGGCGAAGGTATGACCCTCGACCATGGCTTGAGCGTGAGACTCTCTCCGGGTGTTCTCACTGCTGGTGGTGGTGAATCCTTCGCTGAGGCCTTTCTTCGCGACTGGCTTGCCGACCTCACGTCTGAAACCTTGAACATGAGGCGGGCGAGCTTCTGGTCTGACTCCGATGCAGACCGGAGCCAGTACGATGTAACGCGTGTCCGAGAGTGGAGCAGGGCAGCGGCTGTGGTGGACAGCTTGGCATCGAAGCGCGCTCAGACATTCGGAGAGATCTGCGGGTTCGGGAAGCTGAGCCTGCGTCATGTTGCGGACGACCTCCTGCTTGTGGAAGGTAAATACGATTGTGATGGGCGGGCTGTTGGGGGCATGTTGATGCGGAGAAGACATTTTCGGCTCTGTTGTATGCAAAGACGGTGTTGCTGCATAATTTCAGATGTTTCCGTAAAGCGGTGTTCATGTTCGCGTTGGTTGTGGGGAACCTACCGTAAATCGGCCCCAACAAGAGTGAAATCACTCTGGTGTGGCCCTTCCCGTACGTGAAGCGACCTTTTGTGGTAGTTTTACTCTAGGTCGGAGACGATGCACACAAGGGTCATTTCCCTCTTCTACTCTTCTTCACACTCGTTTCAATTTCCCCCCCTCTCGTGTGCTTTTTTGGCGGGTACTTCCTGGTTCTGGTTTGAAATGCCCGCTGTCTGATGCCAACGATACGTTATCTGTTCAAGTATACTCTACAAGGAAACAAGCCAAGCCGGTTCACTAGCGGTCGCGCGAGCTTTCTGAAAGCCCCAGAATGTTACCTCATTTTTCCCGACAAACAGGTATGAACCACCTTCTGCCGGGCAAGAAGGCCCCTTCAGAGGCCAGAACGGCGTGCTACATGGGGCTGCTTTCACAGCTGGCGGCCAAGCCTGAGGTTCTTCGCGTCTCCCCCCTTCAATCGGCCAGTCTCTACAACGCTGTGGCCAATGCGTTGGTGCAGAGCGCTACCACGACCGAGACGCCGCTCCTCGATGCTGGATTGGACGGCACTGGCGAAGTCATCCAGGTAAGGCGTGGTGGGGCTAACTGAACTTTCCGAAAAATGTCTACTGCATGCGTAGGTTTGTCTCCATTGGTTTCCAACGATGATGTGTAGTGATAGTGGAACTGTTTCGCTCAGGTACCACGGGGCATAGGTGTTCCAGCACGCTTATGTCTCGAACGCCGAGTTGTCCTGCTACCTCGGTGGGACTAGGCGAGACTAGACCATTGTAAAGGCGAGTAGATGTCAGCGATGAAACTACATATTCACCCAAAGAATTGTTACTAAGAACAACATTCTGTCGCCAAACAGCCCCCTTTCTGTTGCACGTGCTGTATTTTTCATGCTGCCTATACTGTAGGTGGTCGACACTGGATTGGATGAAACATCGTGTTTCTTCGCGGACGATGACGGACTCCAAGTTGAGCACGGCTTCTTGTTCGGCGGAGTTCGAGTGGAAGGCGATGGCAACGTGTCGACGGTGCTGGGTAACTACTCTTTCCCGTTCGACATGTCGCGCCGTAAGGTGGGAGAGAGTGAAACATAAAGAGATGGTGGTGGTAGTGGTGCCCGGAACGTGGTACCTGGGCTGGCAGTAACACGCGTGCTTTTGTGCAGCTCCGCTGACCTTTGGTTTGTATTGGTGTCTTTCGCGGATACCCTGCAGAGGTTTTAGGGTAAGCACCGTGTAATGGCTGTAGAGATCGATGTTTTATACCCCCCCCCTCGTACGCAGTCGATGTCTGTAGAGCAACCTCGCTCCGTCCCGTGTAGACCATCCCATTGCCGTCGCCATAAATATCAATAGGACGTACTCTGTGGGAATGCTGGGCACAGTACACCGTAAGGATGCCAGAGAACTCAGAGGGATGCACTCGATTATTACGTGATTTCATTCTTGCCTCTTTAGCGCGCGGGGGTGCGATATGGCCGGTACAGTACACGCGATATCACCGATCCCCGTGTGATAATTGAATTATCCCCATTTGGCCCTGAAACTTTTATCACACGGGGGGGGGGGGGGGTTGTGTACTCTTCATTTATTTTGCATGTCGTAGCGGTTAGACCTTTAACCACGCGTCCTCGAGGGGACGGAGCATTGTTCCCACAGGACCGATCACCGATGGCCAATCGTCCCTTCCTACTTTGCCAAAGGTGGCTCAAAAATGTCTTCCCTAGGCTATCTATCCTATCAATATCACTTCTCGCTTTTTCAACCCACTTCCTATGCCCCAGTACAGCTAACGTCTTCTCCAGGCTATCCCATGCCTCAATCATCTCCCTTTGCCTTCCTTCTATTTTTCCATGTTCAATCATGTGCAGTTCCCTCTCCGTCTTGTACAACGAACACTCCGCAACTACATGAACCCGGTCTTCGGACTCGGAGCCGCAATCACATTTGAACTTGTCGTCTTCATCGTCTACCTCCCGCAATCTTGGTTTACGTTGTCGAAGACGGTCCTGAATTTGACCTCCAGCTTTGTCCAGGGTGTACTCATAGTCGTGCATGCCGTAGTCGATAGACCATTAATCTCGCATTCCTACAAAGCCGGGACGGAGCACGCCGGGTTCTCACCTTGTCAGGCTCTCACATCATCAAGCGCGAAACACCGTGAGGTATTCGGGGAGTCGCATGAAGGGTGCGCTGCATCCTCCTAAGGGTGTTCGGCATCATGTGCTCACTTCCTTGAGTACGGATGACAGCGGTGTAGGACATCATTTTGTTTCTGGTGCTTACTTCCAGAGACTAACCCTATAAGCACCGTGTATCTGACTCGACGGTGCCTGACCAATTTTAACACATCGCGGTGCGATCATCGCCTTTGTGCGGAGTGTGGGCTCTCGACCCCGCACACATAAGCTACTCGACCACCATTGTGGTTACCGCAAAAAACCAGAACAGAGGCAAAAAAAAGCGGTAACAACCTGGTTGCCGAGCTCACGAAGTGATCGGCTTGTTTTGTGATCGGCTTGTTTTGTAACGTCTTTGCCAAGCGACCAAAATCCAACCCCAATGGCAAAAGCCGGAGGGGCGTACTCTTATATTCTGCATGCCTTCGCTGTTAGACCATTGACCACGCGTCCTCGAGAGGACGGAGCATTTTTCCCACGGATCACCGAATGCCAATCGTTCCTTCCTACTTTGCCAAAGGTGGCTCAAAAATGTCTTCCGTAGTCTACATATCCTCTCGATATCACTTCCCGCCTTTTCAACCCACTTCCTATGCCCCAGTACGGCTCTCGTTTTTTCCTCGCCATTCCGTTCCTCAAACATCTCCCCGTACCTTCCTTCTATGTTTCCCAGCTCAGTCATGTACACTTCCTCTCCTTCTTCTACAACACTCCGCAACTACATGAACCCGGTCTTCGGGCTCGGCGTCGCAATCAGATTTGAACTTGTCGTCTTCATCGCTTACCTCCCGCAATCTTCGTCTACATTCTCGAAGGTCAATGTCTCTGGGCCTGAATTTGACCTTCAGCTTTGTCCCTCCATCCATTGGTCCATGTAGGTACTTCTTGATCCCTATTCCTTCTTTCGACATTCCGTACACTTCTAGACCCTTCCTTGTCCTTGGCTTCTTTCCTTACATTCTGTTCTCCTCTCTCGGCACAAGCAACATATATATAATCTTCCCTCTACACCTTCCGCTTCCAGCGTTTCACCTTCGTCGAGATTCAAACCCCTTCCATACGTCCTCCACCACCTTGACCCACTCCGTTGATTGTCTACCCCTCTTTTTGGTTGCCCACTTCGCCTCCCCAGCTATTCTAGGCAACCTCTCCTCTCCGATACCGCACATGTGATGCTGCCATGTCAGCTTGCTTGCGTCTCTTCCCGATCGTAGGGATTGGATCCCCAGTTCCTTCCCCGATTTATTTGAGCGCTTGGACCATCCTGGTATGACTTTCGCTACTTCCATCTGCGCCGCCTCGAGCTCTTCGACCACCTTATTTTCCTTCCCATACGTCTCCGGCGTACTCTGGCGGCGGTACGATTACGCTCTTCTAAAGCGTCAATTTGATGTGTGCATCGAAGTGCTGGTTTGTGAGTATTGGGTGCAGCTTCCCTGCTCGTCCTTTGCCCTTTTCCGGTAACGCGGACATGTGTGCATCCACGAGCAGTCTATTGTGATCTCTGCCCGAGGTATGTGACTGGTCCACTACTGCAAGCTCCTCGATCCCGCACTTCCATCTATACACTACTGGTTCCCCCCTGTCCTCGTTGCATACCATACCGTCACTCCTCTTGGCGTTGGCAGACAATCTCCACTTATCAGTAAACTCCTTCACCGCGTCAATTCGCAGTTGCAGTCCCTCAGGGGTGTCCGACATACCAACAAAATCATCCGCAAACAGCATTCCCGACACCGTTGTTTCCGTTTCCCCTATCTTTACTCCTTTCTCGACTGCCTCTACGACTTGCAACAGACGGTTGAACATGTTGGGGACAACCATGTTGGGGACAACGTGCAACCTTCTGGGACCCCCTGTTCAAAGTGGAATAAGTTCGGCAGTTCTTCGTCTAGCATGACCGCGGTTTCAACATCTTCTTCAGCACTCTCCACATTTCCCCCTTGATCCCGTACTTGGACATTTGCTTCCACAACCCATTTCTCCATACTGTATCGTACGCCTTGTGCACGTCCAGGATTGCACTACGTCGGCTTCCCCCCCTTCTTTCTACCGTGGATGATTCTCACTACCGTGAATGCGTGGTCTACGCACCCCCTCTTCTTTCGAAAACCTACCTGGCCTTCACTTATCCTACGCTCCTTCTCTAGTACTCTCACCATCCCATCGTTCAGCAGCTTACAGAACACTTGTCCTACTGTGTTCACCCGGGTGATCCCCATGTAGTTTCCTGGGTCAGTCTTGTCTCCTTTCTTAAACAAGTTCACAACCCCTCCTTCTCTCCACGTACTTGGAGCATACTCGTTTTCCCACACCCTGTTGTACAGCAGTACCATCAGCTGGATCATCCCCTTCCACCCAAACTTCATGAACTCGTTGACTATCCCATCCGCCCCTGCTGCTTTGTGGCACTGTAGCTTGTTCACACAAGTCTCCACCTCATCCACAGTGAGCTCCTTCACTAGCTCTACCTTCCCGACGTCTGCGTTCGATGTCTCTTCTTGCTGAGCCCGTGCGTGCACCTCCTTCTTATTAAACACTTGGTCAAAAGCTTCATTCTCCGACGGCACTCCAAGTCTCTTGTACAGTAGTTTCGTGCTAGAACTTCCCTTTTGCCTTCTCTGCTGACTAGCCCGCCCTTCACACCTCGCAAGGTTGACACTCCTGTAACCCCCCCCTCGCAGTCTTTTCACCATCCCAGCAATCCCTCGCAAACACAAGGGGGGGGGGTTGTTTTACAACCTCGTTGCCAAGCGACAAAACCCGACCCCGATGACGGGGGATGTACTCATAGTCGTGCATGTCGCAGTCGATAGACCGTTGACGTCGCATCCCTACAAAGCCGGGACGGAGCACGACGGGGTTCTCACCGGACCAGACTCTCACACCACCAAACACGAAGCGCCGTGAGGTATTCGGCGAGTCGCATGAAGGGTGCGCTGCATCCGCATCTTGTTCTTACTTCATTTTGTATGAATGACAGCTGCGTATGACATATTTTATTTTCTGGTACTTTCACTTCCAGAGACAGTTGTAAGCACTGTGTAACTGCCTCGAGGGTGCCTGACCAGTTGTAGCACAACGTGATGCGATCATCCGCTTTGCGCGGAGTGAGGGTTCTCGACCACGCAGAGCAGAATCTACTCGACCTCCATTGATGGTTACCGCCAAAAAAGAACAATGAAGGCAAAAAAAGCGGAAACCTGGTTGCCGAGCTCACAAAGTGATGGGCTTGTTTTACAACATCGCTGCCAAGCGACGAAAACCCAACCCCGATGGCAAACACCGATGGGGGGGGGGGGGGGGGCGAGAACTCCGATGCGTACGATACCCAACTTGTCACGGCCGAACGCGAAGCCGCAATACATACGACCTTCTATGGTGCAACCCATTTCACGCGATGAAACCGCGAGGTACCTCCGGTGCAGTGAGTGCCCCGGAAACACTCGAGAAACTCGATACCTGTGACATCGCACCCCTGTGCGATATTGCCGATCCCCGTGCGACACTCGAAGTAAATCAATTCGTTAGAAGTTTGTTTTCGCTTGGTGGTGTGATATCACAGGTACGTGCGATACTATCAACGAAACGTGCTTTATTTTGCATCCTCGCTGTATTTGGCGGTAAAGCTGATAAGGACTCTTGACTGAGACCGTGCGCATGTACCAGCATCCTAGATCATACGCGCCAGAGCCTGTCGACACACGTACCCAACGCACAACCAGGGTAGTTTTCCTTGCAGCTACACAACAATTCATTGATTGCCTGTCTTTCGCCAAGTGAACGCTTACAACGTGTTCAATAGTGTGTTGTCGTTCTGATGTTTACTCATCGCGCACTTCGTAATTCGACCCTGCCACGTAACATGTGGGCGCTATAGTTGCACCAACAGAAATTTGGTGAAGCGCGCCGAAGAAATAGTGTATGAAGTACAGTGTGACGGTAGCTTTTCTGCCCTATTTGTCCCCTTCAAGCCAAATAAGTGAAATATTTCCTTTGCCACGTTTAAGGCACCAACACGCACTCTCGAGCGATGAGGTCTGAGGCATTGCGCTTCTGTGCGACTGTTGACTGAGGGTGCTCCATCCATTCCCCTTTCGTACATCCTCAGGTTAACTCCCAGTCCTCGTACGACGCAAACAAGTAGCTCACCCATGCCCAACGCACATGGTAGTGTCGTGCACGCGTCAAGCAGGGCGCAGTTCTCTGCTAGAAGAGGCTTCGCTCCGTTCTTCACCATGCCAATCCTAAGATTGCTGAATGTTTGGTTCAATTTTCCACGTCCTATATTGCAATGTTTACAATGCATTGACAGATCGTGCAGTACATCCAGATGTTCAAGACGCCTGACCAAGGCAGCACCTCTAGCGGGCAAAACTCTTTCACCTACGCCAGCGACTACATCCGCGACTACCTCGGCGACGCCTTCGACGACGATGACAGCGAGTACAACTCGTACGATGACTACAGCGGCGAGTATTCCTCCGATACATGGAGCGAAGAGTCCTTCTGTGCACAAGTTCTTGACGACTTGTCGTACCACTTTAGCTCCCTTTTTGACGATACTTCGTACTCCCCTTCTTCCGCTTCATCGTCCATCTCGTCCACCGGTGGGTTCGACAAAGACATTGTTGGCGGCCACGGCACGTGGACTGCCGGATGCGCGGCGGGGGCTATTTCGGCCCAGTCCAGCCTCCAAGAAGAGGCTTGCTACGGCGACGAGCTCCCTGGATGTGCCGGTGGCTGCATATCGGCTTCAGACGTCGACGCCATGCTCGACAACGGCTCTTTCGACCTCGACGTCTTCTGCCCCATGTACAACTGCGACGGGAATACCGACATCCCTTCCTCCGAATGCCTGAGCGACGACCCAGTTGAAAATCTGCATCAACACGGCGGTGTAGCCCCCGGGGCACAGATCTCCATGCTTGACGCTTCGTACACGGGATCGGATAGTTTTGCCCTTTTCGCGGGAAACATGTTATGGTACTCGGCGATGGAGACGGGTGCAAAAATTCACTCCAACTCATGGGGTTACGATATGCTCTGCCAACTCACAGAGAACGAGTATTTGTACGACAGCTTTATGTATGAGGTAAGGCCGACCATGCGCAAACTCACGCACGCACTCATTCCTCATGCTGAACAATGTACACAGTTGCAATTCGAGTGCATGCTAGGTTCAGCCATTGCTACAACGCTCGCTACAAACGCGGAGATTTCCAATCGAAATGTCAACATTGACGCGACCGTCACCCCGCCCCTCTCTTGGTTTCATATTCTTGCAGAATCCCGAACACCTGTTGATCTTCGCTGCGGGAAACCACGGCGGCAATGAAGACATCCCGAACCACGAGGGCTGCACAATTGGATCTCCTGCCCTCGGCAAGAACATCCTAGCTGTGGGAGCCACGTCCTCTGGTCCCTCTCGAGGAACCCGAACCGGAGAAGACGGGAACTTGGTATACGAAGAGTTCGGCATGACCGACTATTCTCCAGAGGGATACCCCTGGATTTGCTTGTCCCCTTCTCTCGGGACGCCGTCCGCATCGATGGAGCCAGCGGGGGTCGATACTGTCGCGTTTTTCAGCTCGCAGGGACCTACCCTAGATGGGCGAATCAAGCCTGACGTCGTTGCTCCGGGGGATCAGGTTGGAGCCTAATTCGTGATGGCATTCTGTCTCCGTACATTGATTTGTTTTTTCGCATTGTCTGCCGGGTATTTGTAACTTCTTCCACAACATACCATAGAGATGGCTTCACAAGACGATGGAATAGTACGCATGATGCAGGAACGAGTTTTTGTTGGCAAGAACATTATGGGTGGCGCGCGTGCCAGCACCCCTAAGGCACACGTGTAGCTGATGTCCCCTGTGTGGTTCGTGTTGATGTGGAAGTAAAATAATGAATCACATTCTTAGCTTTTACAGTCTTCCTTTCCCTATTTTCGCGCAGGTGGCGTCCGCATCAAGTGACGGAACCGATGGACACAGCTGCCGACTGCGTAAGTCTAGCACCACCTGGTACCAACTCCAATTGTTGCCGCGATGGTATCCCAAATGCTTCACTTAATAGCGGTTTCATCGCGAGTTGAAATCTTCCGCAGAATAGGAAGGGTTTGCGAGAAATAACCTATACCCTGGACACCTCCTTCGTACCCGATATTCATACTAAAAACGGTCCTCCTTCATCCGTTTCCCTTTCTCGTCTTGTCATTGTTCGACTCTTGCACCCACGCATGTTCAGTCGCCAACATGGGGACATCCGCTTCCTGCCCCCTGGTCGCCGGTGCCGCTGCCCTGGTAATTTGCACACATGAAGAAAAGTGCAGATATGCGTAGTTGAGATGCTACCGTTGGTAACCGATTGTTCTGCAACGTTGTAGAATATGTACGTTAGACGCCGCATCTGCATCTGCTAATGAACAAACTTGTTGTACTGCTGTGGAGTCTCAGCATATTCCGATCTTCTTTTCGATAGGTTCGGCAGTACTTCAAGGACCCATCGTTCTTCGCCAAGGATGTAACGTCTCGGGGGGGCTGCGCCGAGCATTCCTCGTCTTCCCAGTGTTCCGAGTTCGCCCCTTCTGCGGCGACCGTCAAGGTGAGATACAGATTCACGAATAATAGTGAGAGACAATCCAGCCGAAAACCTGTCTCGGTGAGGGTTAGCTAACCTTGGATGCGGTAACAGCGAAAGAATTCCAGTTGAACGTCCCACCTCTTTCGACCATTTTTCGTTCCGTTCAACGGCTAGGCCCCAAAACGAAAACAATCGAGGTTTCGCAGACGAATACTCCATGGCAGAAGTTTGGATGAGTCAAGTGCTCAGAGTCTAACTGCGTGAAAAACGACGTGTGTGCAAGGTAGAGACGTACAGTAGAAATGCAAATCGATAGGCTGAGGTTGAAGATTGTATCCTGCCACCGCCGGGAAGTGTCCATCTATTCCCCAACGACCACGCGAACTCCCCCTACACCCGGAAGTGCGAGAAATGCTATTAGAACCCAATCCAATATCTAGGTACACATCATTACTCATTCCAGAGTGTGTGATGTCCTACAAAGTATGGTAAGTATTATCACGGGTCCCGACCATGCCGGGGAGGTGGCTAAACCAATCATGCAGAGACTCCTCCTGAAAGGCTTTCAAATAATCAGATTCTCAGGTGTGGGGAGCCACAGGTATCGACGACCGCCCATGATGATTTTGTTGTACAGTCTTTTAGTCAATGTACATTAGTACCTGAGGATACAAGATCGAAGAACGAAACTTGAGTTTCTGGAGACGAGCGGTCATGTGAGTACCATCTGTGTACCGCCCTCGTCGAAGCTGTATGAACTCCATTGAGTGTTGATCAAGCGAAGGAGAGCCGACGAAATTCGACTCTGTACTATCCATGGAGGCATTGTTGGCCAGAATTCGTGACAATATTCTTCCTGTGTAAGTCAGCGCTATGTCTTGAGCTGCATCTTCACCTCTCTGCCCGTCCCCTACTGCTGAATACTTTTCAGGCCATGATCATCAACAGCGCGCACCTGATGGGTGGCAGCAGTGAACCCAACGGACTTCGTGGTTTTGGCCGAGTACACCTCGAGGCGGGCATGCCCATGGACGGCGTTGGTGAAACCGGACTTCTCGTTGTCGAAGCAACCATCGGTTCTGACGACGAAATTACCGAGCTGGTCACCGTCGACGGGGATGCTGGAGCGGAGCTCCGAGCAACGCTCGCCTGGCTAGACCCCCCAACGACGGCCTTGTCGGCCAAGCAGCTTCAGCACGACCTCGATCTACATGTGATAGCCCCAAGCGGTGCCAAGTACACCATGTGGGAATCGGGCGCAGATGACACGGTCAATGTGGTGGAGCGTGTAATCGTGCCCGTCGAATCGATGGAGAGCGGCGTGTGGAGCGTAGTCGTGTCGGCCAAGGGGCTGCTTACCGACGAACAGTCGTATTCGTTGGTGGTCACGGGGGCTATCTACAGCTCAAAGTAGCGCATGACCCCGCCTCGTTGGTCGTCGTCTACTGGTCATCTGGGTGTGCGTTTCAGGGTCTTACGGGGTGAGAATACGTCGTTGCTTGCTACTACAGTAGTAGTCGGCGTTGGTGTTGTTTGTGTCCGCCGGCTGCAAAGAAGCGAAGGCCTTTCTCTCCCCTATAATGTCCTCTCCTCTCGTGTAGCGTCTGTTGGTTGGGAAGAACAACGCGCACATGTGCTATTTTTTTATGAAGTTTGTGCCAAAAAGGGGCTCCTTGCCAACCCCGTAGAACCTTTCTCGAGTTGACAATACAATGGTCACTCAAGAACAAACGCAAAAAAAACAAAATGGTAGGATACGTTTAGATACATAGATGTCCACGTTCAGTTTTTTCGAAAGAATGTTGATACTTGCTTGAACGATTGAGTTCGACGTTTTTTGTTGTCCTGGATGGGTGGTTGTGTAGTCTTCACCTTCTGCTGCTCTTCTGTGTTGCTCTGTCAATGTGCTGAAGGGTGGCTGTGTTAATACGACAAGATTTGGACAACGTCTCACACCAAAGGAATGTGCTAGCTAACAGCGCTACACACATACCACTTCGTCTGCACACTGGGCCACACCATGCCGCCAGTAGTGTGAACGTTTGAGTTGAGCCCCGAAGACTTGCGCCGCGTGCTTTCGCGACCTTGGGTCTAAATAGTAGAACGCGGACTAGGCTACATGCGTCGTGCGATCAATGTGTTGGGGGCGTAGATGTATTGCTGGATGTTATGCCCAGGGACGGATGCGTAAACTGTTGTCAATGCAGAGCCCACAATGATGAAACTTGGTACCTGGTCGATTCTGGCAAAAGAGTTGCATCGCACGGTTGTTTCGACAAAAAACTGTCGCTAGGGAGCGTACCTTGGCATCAGACGCCAAAACCAAATCGTTGTGCACGTTGTTCTACCAACACGGTAAACACTCATTTTCCAAGGTGGCACTTCTCACATATATTCAAGAGCAGCTGCATCAGTGGTTGGGCACAAGCAACCAAGAACGTCGCCAACGTCAAATGCCCGGACTCTTATAGCTAATTTCGTCCAACATAGCATGAGTAGTATCCAGCCAGTCTGCCACGGCAATTGCATCATCCACGGCCTCCTGTGTGGTCCCGTCCACCTCTCTCAACTCCGGCGATGTCAAGCCAACATCCGGAAACTGGGCCACCACCCCAGAAACGACGTCCTCACCACACCTCTCCACCTCATTGCTGAAGAGGTCAGTACCATGAATTCCTCGCTTGCTTGATTCACGGCGGTGGACATGTGAAGAAGACGGGCCCAATCGAGCTGTTGGGCTCGCTTGTAGCGCACGTTCATGGTTCCACTCCCACGAGCTAGTAGATGACATTGATTTGTCTCCGCTACTGCAAAGGGCATCCATGTTCGAGCTGGTAGCTTCCTCGGGAGTGACACCCGCCCACACGATATCGCTATGATGTTCCTCATCGACAACCGGCACACCCTCTTTCTTTAAGTGAGCCTGTTGGAAACTGGCATCGTTTCTAGAACAGTCGGGCGGGGTAGTGAAAGCGCTCAATCTTTCACTCGCGATGACGCCCGCAACCAACCTGCAGCAAACGTTCACGAACCAGTGGGAGCCAACACGGCTAAGCGTTGAATTTGTGCGGTCCACAGTGGGACGGGATCGATTAGACACAGTGGAACGGGACGTGTTGGATATGACACGGAGGGCTACGCCACGGTCCTCGTCCAGCGCTCGGGAAAACAGTTGGCCGGCATTTGAGCGAACACGCAACCAGGAACAGAGTTACCTACAGCAATGGATTTGGCTCAGCTTCCGAGTTGAGCATTGGGCCCGGCATCCTATGTATTTCTTCATCGTTCCCTTGCCCTGGTCTGGGGGCCTTCCATATTTTATCGGGCGAACGTTAGGACCCTCTCGGTTGTTTAGTTTAGTTTTCGTTTGTGACTGACTGTTGGATAGGTCATGGCTGCGGGAACTCATTTCGTTGCCTTTCTCGAAGGGTACAACAGAGGGGGTACTGCGCAGACGTCAAGCATTACATTAACAGCAACGGTCCACTGCATGAGTCTTGTATTTGTACATCAAAAACAAGGCTCGCAATCCGTTCGTTCATCAATCGAGTAGGCGCATTTTTTCTGCGTTCGTGACCTTCGCATGCCCTCGGAGCGCTCCACTGTAGGAACCTAGCAAGTGTGTGCGGTGGGCTAAAACGTGGTTGTTAAAGCCACTAGTCCTTCGGCGGTTGAACACCAACTGTAACATTTCTTGCGTGTTGCTTACCAAAGGAGTACCAAGTATTCCATTGATGACGGAATCATGTTGTCGATCGACAGCCGTACGGGGTGTTCTCCCACCAGAACCGAACCAAAACAGCCCCCCCGATCCAGTTTCCAGTGATGTGCGTATTTCTTAAAAGTGAAAACGTCGACACCCGACGAACACCAAAACAAACTATTCGATTCCACGGAAACCGTTGCCACCAAGAATGAGTGCGGCCCATTGCAAAAATTACGGAAGTAAACTTGTTCGGGTGATCGAGGACGAACAGGCGACGAAAAGGGCCGAACAACGCCATCGTTCAGTGTTGCACCTGTAGACCAGGTGATTATCGTTGTTCCTGAAACTTCCGAAGCACAACCCCATTTCAAAAACAAGTTAGCCGTTGTGCTGGGGGAAGCTAGGCAAACCGTTGTGCATGGGCCATAGCAGGATATCAATCCCCCACCCCACCTGCACTGGAAATGGTCGCAGAATGCAGCTAGCCCTTGCCACTCCTCCAAAGGCGGTGCTGGCAGAGACGCAGGGGGTCGAAACGGATTGTAGGCCTCCCGCAGTCGGTTGTACAGACCTCGAGCTCTGGAATCGTCCATCACTGCTAGGGCTGCCAGGGCAGCATGCACAAGGTGGCACCTTTACGCGGTCGGAGGTACGAGGATGACAGAGAAGAAGATGAGACTCCCTGTCGCATTGCATTCGGTCGCAGTACAACACACCATAGACGCACTTGTGCCGCGAACGCCATTAGTGATTGCTGGTCGTCCCGCAGAATCAATGGTGAACTCAATATGGAAGAGGCACTCAAATCTTGGCGTTGAAAAATGCAATCTTGTTTCATTCAGTCTTACTGCGAAGCATGTCCCAGACCTCGCCACGACCGCGAGTCGCAGCCAGGGTAGCAGTGTGGTGACGAGCACGATCGACTCACCATTGTAACATGCAGCGACAAACGCCAGGGTAGCGCTCAAGGACCTCGACGCAATGCCCTAACTTCTCCACCATCCCAACAGCGTCCCCGTTCGCTGCCCTGTGAAATACCAGGTTCCTGTCGGATGCGGTAGGTGGTGTTGTAGCGATGGCGACACAAACATGCAGCCTGTGATGAGTTATCGTTGGGTGGTATTACACGTTCTCCAGTACGCATTGGTCTCGTGCGGTAGTGGTGCTCATATCCCACGGAGCGTGAACCATCGCACGCAAATTACATGGGCAACCATCATGTTCTGACGTCGGGAGCATGTCAGGTCACTTACATCTCACTTACATGTTAATGAGGAAGCCGCCCATGCCCGTCCGAACGTTTGGTCTGCTTGCCATACAGGTGAAGGCCGGTCACGAGGGAAACAGGGAAACATCGCGAGAAGGGTATATATAAGCACGCGGCATCTCCATGCTTGTGCGATCGAGCGCTGAAATAGGGGTCACTCAACAGATGAGCTGCAGAAAACGATGCCCTACGTCATCGAAGTACAGACCTCGCATGCCACTCGAAAACCACCAAGCAAGGTAAAAACTCACTCACCGATCCACTGCTTCTTGTAGGTTTTCGAAGTCGAGCAGGCCAACTTTGAACCCAGTCACCATGGCATCTGACATCTCCTCCGCCCGGGGGGCGTTGCTGTGCGGGCTTGCACTGCCTATATCCTCTTCGTAGGGCCCATCATCGCTCGAGCAACTGCGAATCGCTCTCTTCTCGCAAGCTTCCGCGACGACAAGTTGCACGAACGCCTCAAGTGACTGGGCAACAAACCGAAACACGTCCTCTTCGTTTGCAGCTGGGTTGATCTGGATCATCATGCGGAAGGGGGTGGAGGCGGAGCTCTCGTAAACACGCACGCCTACCGTATAGGTTGCCTCTGTGGTTAGCCAGTGTGATGCAAGTCGACTTGTAGACAACGAGGCAAGCATTGCGCCAAGCCTGATTCGCCTTGGAATGTCCATGAAGCCGCACGAAGCGTAAACGTTTCCGGTAACGATCACTGGTGTCATTATTGTCTTCACACGGACAAAACTCTGGCCTGTGCCGAGTGCGTCGTCGTATGCACTCTCTATCCCAAGTCATTTCAACAGAGAAGCTCAGCAACGGTCCGAAAGTTGACAACCTAGAACTCTACCCCACTAACGAGCAAGCAAGATGGTGCCGAAACAAGGAAAGAAGCGTACGTCGCGCAAACTCAAAAGCCGAGCGAATCAAACATACAAAATGAAGATATGTGGTATACATTAGGGGTGCCACCACACATCCGTATATACTGTGTTGTGCGGGGGCCGTAGCGTGAATGTGGAGTGTTGCGGGTATTGAGTCAAGCCGTCCCGTATAGCTGCTGCAATCACACGTTCCGTGTACGCGCTTTGAACAGAAACCGCTGCGGCTCTAGTTCACGTCATCGTCGGGATGACTTGCAAATAGTGCTTGGCTCCATTTCCGAGCGTGCCTTGGATCGTTTAGTGGAGCATTGCGATGGTGTCTACTACGATCTCTCGCAGCTGCCATCACGGAGACGTGTTGGGTGCTGTCCCAGATTGCGAGCACGTTGTCTTTCGAGGAAACTCAGTTTCGGCTATGCGGTACCGGACATACCTGTGGACGGTCTTGACGTCGAGCGAAAAAGTCGATATCCACAGCGTCTACATTTCCGCAGTACACCTTAACGGACTCCTTGTAGTGAACTATCTCCGGGAATCCCTGGTCAAAGAACACGCGCATATACGAGGGTTCGACCGGTACGCACGACTGACAAAAGAATAGAAGTAGTCAACAGGACGAGCATGATCTGGGAAGAAATAGCGCCGAATGTTGTTTCTCCGCTCAACGGCATGGAGGATTACGGTAGAGATTGGCCAGGCTACACCGGGGTTCATCGCCGCGTCATTCTGGCGATGAATAACATGTCGCTACAGTTGGATGGCTCAAATGAATCGAGCACCTGATCGGTCTGAAGGAACCAGTGCCCGCAACAACCCGATTTTCGAGCTGCTGCTGTACGACCGCATCAACTCACTCCCGCGAGTACTAGATTCACAGACGTGCTGCTGGGATCATCTCGCCCACCATGACCTTAGAACGCCGAACATCCACCAAGGGTTTGGCGTCAGAGGTGGCTTGGCCCGTCGGGGAAGCTGCTGATCGGGTGCAGGACAGCGACAATCTCAAACTATGGAACGTCGGCCAAGCTTTCAGTCTGCTGCACGCGCCGAACCTTCCTGCCCCAAAACCCACCCACAGCCATCACGCGCGCCTCACACGTATGCCGACCTAAATATCTGAGCATCTGGAGCATTGTGGGTCCAGTTCATACCCTGGTACCATTTCACGAACGACGGCGCGTCCGCGTGATTCATGCACAACACCAATACGACCGCAAACAATGGTCTTCGAGCAACTGCACTCGAACGTCTAAGCCCACCCACACCCACCCCAACGGCCCCGCGCAAACCTTAAGCCATGAATGGATGGGACTATCGACTCCTGTTGAATCGCGAGGGACCATATCGTGCTTGCGCCGCTGCGGGTTAGGCCCTCATCGATGGATTGAGAACCCGCTGCTACTGTACTCGTAGAAACGTTTACAATCACGCGCCGCCTACAGAAGACAACACCACAATAGGAGTGGCCAACCAGGTTCGATAAGCTTCCCGCATGGCAAAATCTAGAGGTGCTTGGCTTTTCTCATACATTGGCGGTGTTAGCGTACAATCAGATCTTGGAATCGACCGTTCCTGTATTTTCTCTCTTCGGGAAGATAGCGGCCGTTTCCTTCATACAACCTGGTTCGCCAGGCAGGGAAGGAAGCTCTATTATTTGCTGTACAGAAAAAAGGCAACTACGCCACACTCACCGATGGCAGCGTGCCAGTTGACCCTTGTTCTATGGAAGCAATCAAAAAGGAGTCCGAAAGCTTGAGGTACTCTTCAAACGTCGCCTGAAGCACAAAGCGCAAACGAACATAGCGGAGAAACACGAGTGACGATATCCAGTGCCAGACCATTTTGAACTCTCGAGGGATCCTTGAGAACGGAAATGCTGGGGGTGGCGACGCGATCGGCGCTATCGACAGGAAAGAAGACATGATCTTTGTACGCAGGACACGGGGACGATTAAGGGTGCCGTGCGTCCCGCAGGAGTCGAGCTCACCGTGTCTCCCATGAAACCGTAGAAGTACCCCAGGATCGCCCACGCCCTGAATTGATGTTGACGCGAGGACGGGGGAGTAGATGGGCTGGCGGTTTTAGGGGTCGGACGGCAAGGACTATCTATCATATGCCATGCAAGATTCAACACAGTTTGGACTGAGGCTGAAGTTCTCCAAGTAATCAGAGTGTCAATGCCCAAAAGGGTGGCGAAAGATGTGTCCCATTCAGACTTTCCAAATATGTATCGGTCGGTATTGCCAACCTCGCTGTATGTGGAGGTCGATTATTGCAATCCCGGTACTGGGGTGTGGTATCCTGCGTGGAATACGGTACGAAGATTCGATTGCCTGTCCAGGTCAAAACGATTGCTCGAGACATATTTTGTGAAACGATGTACGTCTACCATAAGAAAAAATATCATTATCCCCCCCCCCCCGACAGACACCACGCCATTCGTGCGACAGGATTCGCCGATGGGTCGCGGTAGTGAATATCCTCGTGTTACAATCTGTCCGCGTACAACTAACTCACTCTGCCACCTCCGCATCCGCAGGGCCAGTATAGTCATCCAATGCATCTCTCGCCAGTCGGGAGTAGTTCGCGACCTTTCGCGACACATTGGGGAGGTGTTGCAGTTCGTGGGCGGCGTTTTGGCTGGCGTCCTCTGCCGTAGCTCGAAATTGGATTGGTCGGCAGCTACATGCAACTATCACAAGTGGTGGCTAGCAAAGATGAGCGCCCGCAATGCGCCGGGGAACGACGGTGCTTCCCCAGTACAGGGTAAGCCAAGAAAAGCACGCGGCTTTCTCACCGACTCAACAGGGCTGCCCTTCACGAGAGCCCCCATACCAACTGCACACCAAAACGTGCAACATGAGGGACCCGTCAAGAGATGATTTCCCGTGGTGATACCGTCCTCGGTGAAGATGGCGCCGAACTGGCCTTGGTCGGGGGAGTTGTGCCGAGCACCAGGCTGATGTTGGGCAGTGGAGCGCGCCATCATCCTCACCATCGCTCCACGGATATGACTTGTGGCAACATTCAAGCGCACAGGAACCGTGAATCAGGACTTTGACCGTAAGGTTAGGAGCCATCATCGCTCGGAAAGATCGATGCCCTCCTCGACAATACCTTGGCAACATACACGCGGAAAATATGGGGTACTCTCTAACTAGTGGGGCGCAGGTTCCCCTGGTTGTGTGTGTCATGAAAGTTTTATCCGCACCTTCGAGTGGTGAACGGCATGAAGCCAACGCAGCCGAAGAAGTCACTCAGAAATGTGTTCTCCTGCATACCCACAAGCCCGGTCGCCGGAGAAGCACTCAACTTCAACCTGGTACGGGAGAAAGCGCGTTTGGACGTGGTGAGATCGTGCTAAAAGCTCTCCCTCGATAGACACGTAAGACCTGGAAGCGTCCAGATGACCGTTTGTCCTCCTTCAGCTCATACCTGTGGCTTCGATATACCCCACGTCCAACACGTATTTGGAGGTGCTGATCGATGTTGAAGCGCTAATGTGGCTTGCACCAATGGGCAGGAATTTCAGCACGGCTTCATCTTCTATGTCCCGCACCCACGGTTTGTAGATACTACTGTATAAGGGTTGGGATCGAAATTGGTACTTCGTATACGAGACAAGGAATGCAATGGTGCACGCACAGATCCTGTGACTCAAGCCGAACCTGACCGTTTGAGTTTCGATTGTAGCATACATGTAGTCCAAACAACCACCAACGGATACTAAAAGACGACTGACCTCTTCAAAGGCAGCATACGGCAGGCCAGGAGTGTGCCGGATGCCGAGAGGCGCAGCAAATCCGCCGTCTGCATTCCAGCGGGACCACGTGGACGGCGCTGGTGCTGGCGCCCAGGCTGAGGCTGATGCGGCTTCCGCTTTCTGTACGTGCATCGAACCCCAGCTCCTAGGCACCGGCTACACATTGCGTACACGAGAGCGGTCATCGCCTTGCGTCACCCTGGTGCACGTGAGGTGTAGCTATGGACAGCCGTTTGTGGGTAGGGCTCGTTTCACGCACACACACTGGGTGGGGCTCATTTCACGGAACCTTGAGGATCTCGCCCAGATCGGATTCCTCAACCGATAGACTGCTGTGCATTCCCAACCCCTGCTTTGCGACAACACATGCACTTTTCGTGCCCAAAAGTGTTGGCCTTCCAACTGTAGTCTACTGAAGTCCCGTGTGTGGATCACCTGTGTGAGTGGTAGGGATCATTCGGTTGATTCAAAACCGTTCAACATAAAAGATCGATTTGAGACGGAGCATCATCAACGTCCGACGGCAACAACTGGCTACGGTTCCTGTCAAATACCACATCACACACCTGCAAGGCATCAGGCCATCGCACTTTCTTTTCTTTCGCCCACATGCACAGCAGCTCTTGCGCATCCCAAGATTGTTCGTAGCCACGTTTCCGTCTTTCATGTAAACGGAACTCATGGTCGAAGTCCCCACCTCGTGTCCCGTTTTCCTGCGTACATGGTGAACAGCGTTTTGTCAGCAGTTCGTGATTCAGTTGCAGCAGACATTGCAACGGTCGCTCAAGTGTATCTTAGGGTGATGCTTCAGGGTGTATGCCCAGTGGAGGAATAGTCTAGACCCCCAGCACAGTGTAACACCTCATAGCGAACGAAGAGTTGGGGGTGCGAGACGAGATAAATGTGCCGCCAACTGGTGAAGCAGGCCCTGCGCTACAGCAGTAGGGTGCATGCGCATGTATGTAGATGTGAGCCACCCGAGATCCCGAGATATACTGTAGACTTCAACTGCTGTAGAAGCTCACTCGCGTTGTATCTACATACGCTTGGATTCAAAGAAGCAGCCGCATGGACTAACCTGAGGCAGAGCTGGAGACAGTGTGGTGACTTTGCTGAAGGTGCAGTGAGGACGGCCCAAGGCCCAAGGCGGGACTTGGGGGGAAAGTGTTGCCGGTGTTGAAGACCAACGTCCAACAGCGGGGCTCAGCGGCGGCCAAAAAATTTCAGATGTCACAAACTGTAGGACCTCCCCCCGCCCTCTTTTACAAGGCTCGTCGGTATCCGTGATCTGAAAACCGTCCGGTGTCGTCGTGTGCGAATCTTCTCCTCAGTACGGAGGAAACCACCTGGCATGTCGCAGTGTTCGGATGTTTCGGCCACCGTGGGGGCGCTGGCTTTACTCATGCCCCAAGGGTGCGGGCGTTTTGCGGGGAATTACTGTACGTCGTGACGTCATGACGCACCGAGGTTCAGTTTGGGAACCAAAACCAGAACCAAACAAATCGGCTGGACTCGCGCCCTGGCGCACTAGCTGGACGCTGGACCCAGGCTGGACCTGCGCTGGAGGCTGGAGGCTGGAGGCTGGACGACTGCACGGCTCATAGTCTAGTGTGTTGGGACGTGGTTCGCAGGATTCCTAGTCCGCCACGGCGAGACGCATTGTGTGTTGGAGTTGGTTGGAAACTACACTCACTGCTGTTAAACCACACCGACCCTGTGTGGGTGTTGTGGAGACTACATGTAAACTACTGCAACCTTGCTATGTAGGTACCCACTTCGTATTTACCCACACCATCACAGACGGTGTCGGGTGTGTTTGTTGGGCCTCGTGTTCCACTGCAAGCGGCGACACCGGCGACGAGCGACCAACGAAGACTCGTGTGTGCATGGCTGACCTACTACAGCATACAGTCGCAGGCCATCTTTTGTTGCTAGTTGGGCTATCTTTACACCACTGATGCAGAGACAGACGTTCCTTTCCTCCTCTATCTCGTGAAAGGCCCCTCATAACCATCAACAGGGCGGGTACCCGCCCTATATAGGGTATTTCAAACCCTGAATAGGGCGCACTGCGCCCTATACAGGCCAGATTCTAGATAGGGCGGGTGCCCTGATGTAGGGCGGGTGAATCGGGCTGGCGCATACCCGCCTTATAGAGGGCCTACGACTGTATATACATGCCATGTATGTACAGTAGGTCTAGGGGTCAAAGAGTCCACCCAGTAGTCTCTCCCCCCCGCCCCCCGCTCGGCCTTCTCGGGGCCAACCAGAAGACCACACGCAGCAGGAAGTGCATCTCCATCGCTCGGAGAATATCGGGTGTCATGGTGGCGCTGTACCGCAGTAACTTGTCCCTCCTTTTCTTTGCAACAGATCACACACTCCCTGCTCCCCCCCTTCGCTAACCTTTCTCTCTGGCACTCTCTTCTTTTCCGGGCATTTCGGGGAAGGTGAACACGTAAACACAGGAATGCAAGGAGGGGGCGGGTGTACTCGTGAAAACGCACAATGCCGTGGATAAGTACGTAGTCTACAATAATGTCGGGCGGCCTCGGGCCGCCTTCGTCGATCGCGCCGCCGTCGCTCCGTCGATCGTCGCCGTCGATCGCCCTTGCCTACAACCATAGTCGTTAGATCGTTGACTTTGCATCCTGCAATGCCGGGACGGAGCGATTTGCCACGTTTTTGCCGGCCCGGGCTACGTTTCGCAAGGAAGAACCAGAAGGTGATCATCATCCTTGCGTGTGCTGTGCCAAACCAGATACATATGCCATGGGTTGATTGGGCATCCCGGCCAACCAAACGTTTCACATTCGGCGTGCACGATTGAAAACCCGCAAATGTGCGGGAAGGCGGCAGTAATGTAATTCTAGGGTTTCTAGGGTTAAGGATTGCCCCCCCGCCCCCCAATGGGGCTGGGGGCCAACATCCAGGACGGATGGTGGTGAGTGTCCGGGAGGAAGGAAAGAAGAAGGAGAGGATTTTGTAGGGGCGGGAAGAAGGGACGGTGTTGGGAGAGGCAAGGAAGTGGGAAGAATTTCGGCACTCGACGAGCGCGCGGTCCCGTCGGGGGTGAAAGGGACATGTCAGTCCGTAGTCTCGTCTGTCGGAATCGAAAAGCCGAAAAATCGAGGTATACATTATGTACATATCGATGGAGAAGGCCGACGAGGAAGGTACGAAGAGAGGAGATAGCACCCCACGTTCGAAGCCGGTGTGAAAACCGCGGCAAGGAAGGAGTGCGAAGGAGAAACAGAAAAAAGGAGACGTCGACGTTTGCGTCGTGGAACGATCCTTCCGTATAACACAGGTACTCACCAATGCAAGACGGGGAGGTAAAATACCCATCGTGAAAGTCAGAGCGCAGGTCATAACCCCATATGACTCATGCGCGGAGAAGTTACCACGGAGACTTATCAACAAGAAGTTTGAAGGCCGGCTAAGAAGGTTTGAGGACACAAATACTTTAGCGACGATGGCAAGCGTAACGTCAAAACTTCACAAGAAGAAAAGTGCACACAAAAAAAGAAAATGCCGGATGCCGACCTATGGCTCTCTCGGAATGAAGGGATTCCCACAGTTTCCAACAGGTAATCCACAAGTAAGTACGGACATATGAAGGTACTGGGTAGAGAGAGATCGGAACGGTTTTTAATGTGAAGACACAACAATAACAACAATGATGAAGGTCGACCCGTCCTGCGTCGTTCGGTGTAAAATGATAAATGCGAAAGATGGACTGCGTAGAGATCCAGCGGTCTCTTTCGGCAGTGGCAAAGAAATATGTAACCACATGTAACAAAAAAAAAAAGGTGAGCGGGATACTGTAGGAAATAGAACACCGCCTTCTCTGTTGTTGCAGGCAGGTTTGCTTCCACAACCCGGGAACCCAACCCACTCTTGTATTTCGGCCTACAAGACTCCAATCGACGCAAGCACCGGTAGGAGAGCGCGTGGCAGATGCCGTGACAACACAACTCCACTCTCCTACGACATCTATGTACAGTAGTACTGCGGTCGTTGTAGCACCATGTGGAAGATCTCCGAGGGGTCCTCCTGCGATGTAACGACAACATGGCGAGAGCTCTACGTGTACCTCTCGTCGACACATGTGGCAGCCGCACGACACATCAACGGATGTTTGCATCGCATTGTACTATGGTTCGCCGTGACAGGAAGTATCCCATCCAGTTAGGTCGTTGCCGTAGTACGCGGACGTCGTTCGCCGTCTAGTCCTTACTGCTGTAGCTAAAACACAGCAGTAATCGACCTATGCATGCATTTTTTTGCTCTGGTCCACTTTTGCCCCACAACCCGATAATCTCACGGCTGTATCTCAACCTACAAGACTCCAATCAACAAACCAGCACTGGCAGAAGTGCGTGGAAGATGCTGTGACAGCACAACTAAGTCGACACTCATACGACTTCTTTGTACAGGCGACGTCTGGTCCATACTGCTGTAGAAACACAAAAATCGAGCCATCTTTTTTTTTTTCCATACAAATAACAAGAAATGTATCACGTCACGACGGCCATCCTGTGAGTACATAGATAACATGATACTGTTGGAACGCGCTTGGTGATGGGGAAGCCGTGTTGCAGCATACCGCCAAGTGACCGGCCAAAAGACTGTGCATGGTGGGGTTGGCCGATCAGCGAGAGACTCCAGGGATAATCGAGTCTATTCCTTCAGTACTGATATCTGTCACAACAAGCTGCCAGTATTCTCTTCTCTGTCGTTTTCCCAAAGAGTATTTGAACAGAGCAAAGGGTATTCCGATATTGGTGTTTTTGGGCGCCAAGAGAGTCCTCCTTTATCGCGTTTTTTTTGCGCCTACACACGGAGAGGTGGTCGGAAATCGGCGCGATTTGTCACCAAGATTGAAAGCAACGCTGCTGAGGAAATAGCTGTGCTCGAAGTCGCATCCCAAGTGACTGATTTTCTGCAGCTGTTTCCACCAATAATTGAATTATGTTGAGCGAAGGTCCGGTCATGCGCTCAGAGACCGACCAAAACATCTTCCATACCAATGTTGACACAAAGGCTCGCATCACTGTCGTCACCACACTTGAGGATGAAAAGCCTCGTGTGGGTGCCTATTGTAGTTCGCACCTCCAGCTTGCGCGTGGTGCATATGGCGTGTCTACTGTCGCTCTCCTGCTTTGGCGGCCACGTCTCCTCCGCGCAGCGATACCGCCTCGTCTCGGTTCTGCTGAGTCTCGATTTGGCGTCTTTATGGGTTCCACAATACTAGCGGTAACACGACGTACACGTGTGTATTTGTGGTAAACGCCGCAAATGAATTGGTACCTCCTGTATGCCTGGTGGGTGCTTCCTCCGATGAATGTTACGTTGGTCGAATAAATCGTCTTTGGGACTGACCTTTCTTGTTGCCGAGGTCAGTGATATCAGTGAACAGGCTCACGGTAGGAGTAAAGGTACGACTGTATCCGAAGAGAGTCCCGTGCTTTTGAAGTTGATGATGCAGGGGAAAGGAACCCCAGTCAGTATGAAGGAAACGAGGAGAAAGGAGGTCATCAAGCGCGTATAGAACAGTATGCTGAACGAACGTGAACTCCGCACTGCAGGCGATGTTTCTGAAGGATTAGAAACGTCGGGAAAAGACGGAGGAATAGACAATCCGAGAAATCGTAGAACGAGCGAGAGGCCGAGGAAGAATCGCAGGAACGAAAACATCTCCATTAGGAACGTGCCCAATGGAGATAAGACAAATCTAACAGAGGGTATTCAACGCAGGGTAATGGTGCTATTAGTAGCACCAGAGCACATTTCACCAGGAACACTACTTGATGACGTTGCGTCTTCTCCGTCAGCGTTCCGAATCTTGAGACCAAACCTGTCGTCCAATCTCCCCTGCCCCGGAGAGTTCGGAAAAACTTGTCCAATGTTTTCCCGCTCCAAGACCGACGTTAGCTTGGTCGATGCTAGCTGAAGAAGCGCGCTTACACGTACACACCTTCCCGTACTAAATATGACAATTTACCAGCTGACGCTAACGCATATATATCCTGGAATATACCATATCCCAACGTTTGGTGCACCCCCCCCGCCTTGCACGACTTCCCTGGGCGAACGGCCAAACTTGGGAGAACAACCGCCCGGGATCGTCGTGTATGGACCTTTTGTTTGGTACGCAATACACAGGGAAGCAAGTCGTCGCAGTGAGTCCTGCACTCTACGGATGCGCCAGAAGTTCGTCGGATTTTGCGGGGAAATACGTCGTGACGTTATAACGCCCCGAGGTTCAGGAAGGGAACCAAATTCCTGTACTGAACCAATGGGGTAGGAGTTGGCGGAATGCCGAGTACATCTGTTGCGGCGCCCTTGTGTTCCTACACATGAGGTATTCAAGTCCGAGCATGTTTAAAAGTTGAAACAGGGGCACACCGCACAGGGTCCACGTGAGCAAGTATTTTTCCTCCCCGGGAATCATGTCAATTGCGAACATACGGCAGTACAAGAGTCAGCAGATGTCTTCGGCGTGGACCAATAGAAAATACTCATCCTAGGCTGGCGATACATCCAATATGGGTGGGGGGGGGCACGCGTAGAATAATAGTTATTCTAGCTGGTGCCTATTATTGTTGTCCAGCTCTGGACTCAAATGTGAATTGAGCGGAGTATCTCTCCTTTTCCTCAGGGTCCTGGCTCGCTGTGTAGAGACCTGTCCTCACAACACGGAGGAAAGAGGAACACAGTACCGTGGCAGCTTGATCCTGCTCGTCAGGCAAATAGACTCTCCGTCCGTTTTCACATCTGTCTACCCGCTGTTAACATTGGGCCACACTCATGGGGCGTTCAGAAGAATTCAACCGATCTGTGTCCCAAGTCATGACAAAGAGAAGCTATTTAAAGCTTGTTCTGCCGGCAGACTTTGGACTCCTCCGTTGTTTTCCACCGTATTTCTCAGTGTCTCCTATGTAGAGCTCCATGGGGTGCTTGTCGCGTCCTCACACATAGCTGCGAGGTTTTCCATAGCACCTATCGGACCATGCACGCTTGGAGGGATGCGCTTCCCTTCGTGGTCCAGTTGTTTTCGTCATCTGCTACCGTTGTAATACACGGTGACACGAGCTTCCGTGGTACGAACGTTGGAGTAGAGCTCCTGACACTCGCAACCGCGAGTTTTCGCGGCCTGCCTTGGGTAGAGCGCGGGCTAAGCACATAGTACGATCGACGGACGTGTTGTCGAAGGCGAATGCTGGATAGTCTGTTACGCCAGCGCGCAGTCCTAAGAATAATGGGACGTGGCACGATCGATTCCGGCAAAGAGCTGCATTGCACTTCTATTTCCGCGAACATGCTGATGCTGCCTCCAAGAAAGGCTACCCTTGGCATCAGAGGCCGAACAACAAACAACTGTGGTACATAGTGTCTACAGACGGGGTAAACGTCAAGTTCAAGACACCCTTGTGCACACGCCCTCAACAGTCAAACTGCATCACGGTTTAGCCCGAGCAACCAAACCTCAGCAACGTCAAATCACCGGATGCTTCTCGTCAGTTGCACCCAACATAGAATCCAGCCTGTCTGCTGCGGCAACAGCATCATCCTCGGTATCCTCTGGGGCCCAATCCACCTGTCTCAACCCCGGCCATGTCGAGGACCTATCGGGAACTGGAGCCACCCAGCCAGAAGAGATGCCCCCATCATACCCCTCGACTGCACGGCCGAAACGTTGTGCGCCTCCCCCGCCCGGCTCACGGCGGATGTGTGAACTATACGAGATCGGTCCGACAGGTGGGCTCATCTGCGGCGCAGGCTCTTGGTTCAATCCCATCGAGCCGATCATGTATTCGGGAGCAACGCCCGCCGACGCGATACTGCGATCGTGTTCCTCGTCGACAACCTGCAGATTCTCTTCTGTGCAAGTAGTCCGTTGCAAGCCGGTGCCGTTGCCAGTACCGTCATGTTCGGTAGGGAAATCGCTCACGGCTTGACTCGCGATGATGCCCTCAGTTAACCTGCAAACAACACATTGATGACGTAGTGGGAGCCAGCATGGCCGACGTTTGAATTCTGTATCCGCAAACTGGGGTTGGTCTTGGCATGGAGCGCACGCCAAAGTCCTCGTCCACCGCTCAACAAAACGCATTGCCGCGATTTGAGCGCAAAGTTCTTTGCCGAATCGTTTCAACTATCAAAGAACATGGTCTTGCGGCTCAGTTTCCGAGTGGACGGATGGGCTCTGCTTCCCTTGGGTTTTGAAGGGCTTCCGTTGCTCTATTGGTCTGTCTTGACCGTGTCGTCTCGAACGTGACGACCTTCCTGCTGTTTTATAAATATTTCGTTTGTTGGTCACTTTGAGATTCGTTGTGACCGCGGGAAATAGTTTCGTTTCATTTCAAGAGTAGGAGATCAGAGGTGCTGGGTGCCGTCAACTATTGTAATTATGAAGCTTCAAGAACGTTAACTACACCATACGGCGTGGAGTTCCGCACCAAATGCAAGGCTCGAAATATTGAGTTCCCTCGCCGGTTACCCCCGCACGGCTTCTGAGCGCGTGTACAGGCACCTAGGTTGTGTTGTGTGTTTCGCCTTACCAATAGTAGTGCCTTGTGGTGGCCTACAAGTTGGTCCTCTCCGAAACGGCAGTATGTATATGGCATCGACTACCCACGTCACGCATGCCTGGTTGCATTCGGGCATGCGCGGTATCGTACCGACGAACCTCCTGCGTGCCCGTGGGAATAAAGCGTGAAAGACGACTCGTTGCCGCAGGAGAAAGGGGTGCCGAAGAACCAAGAACATCGGAATGATACATGGTACACATAACAAACACATAACGGTTGACCTAGGGCATTGTTTTCCGATCGTTGTTCGAACTTCGTACGGGTGGTTCTCCTCGCGAAAACGAACCAAGAGGACCCGCCCGATCCAGTCATCTGACACCGCCTCTGTCGATTTAGCATACAAGTATTTTGAGTATGGAAAACGTTACGGACCGGCGTGTCCCGTAAGCTTTTTTGAGTCTGCGGAAATCGTTGGCACCAACAGTATGCACCACCGAAATGACCAAGATTTCGTCCGTTAATCGAGGACGTGGGAGCAATAAGAACAAAACAATCGAAATGCCATCGTTCGTTGTTTCCCCTGTGGCCAGGGTGCGTATGCCTGTTCTCAAAATTCGACAAGCCACCTCTATTTCTAAAATCAGTTTGCCTTCGCGCTGGGCAAGTGTCATAGACCAACCGCTGTGCATGTGACACTGCAGGATATCCACACACCCCACACACCTGGAATGGACATCATCGCAGAATCCAGATACCCTCTGCGACTGCTGCAAAGGTGGCGCTGGCAGAGAGGCAGGGGGGCGAGACGAATTGTAGACCTCCTGCAACCGGTTGTACAGGCCGCGAGCTCTGGAATCGTCGATGGCTGCGAGGGCCGCCAGGATGCCGTGCGCCACGTGAGACCTTTACATGGCGGGAGGTACGAGGTACGGGAGGTTGCAAAAACAGAAGACTTGTGTCGTATCGTACACGGTTGTACTACAACTCCAAACGCCGGAATTACCTATTTGGGTAGTCCCACAGAATCAGCAGTCGACCTCGTTGCAGCGAAGAGCCACTCAAATCTTCACATTGAACAACATCTTCTGACTTGTTAGCACTCCTTGTTGTGATATCTCGCCACAGCGGATCGCCGCTAGCGTATCAACGTCATCGTTCGTGATGTCATGCGATCGGCTTACCATTGTGTCATGCAGCGACACACGCCAGGGTACCGCTCGAATACCTCGACGCAATGCCTTAGCTTTTCCAGAGCTTGGACACCTTCCCCTTTTGCTGCCTTTTGAAATGCCAGGATCCTGTCAGACACGCCACGTGTCATTGTAGAGATTACGAAACCAACATGTAGGTCATCATTGGATGCTAGTACAAATTCTCCACTACACGAAGTTCTTCACATGGCTAAGTGCAAATATTTTGTAGTGCTCATAGGTCAACGGAGCCAGAGCAATAAAAACCCAAACAGTGCAGCACCGTTTGTTTTCCACAGTTGGGAGCACGTCGGTCAGGATTGCTTACATGTTGATTAGGAGGCCGCCGATGCCCTTGCGAATGTTTGGTCTGTTCGACATGCAGGTGAAGGCCGGTCAGGAAGGGAAAAGGGAAAACATGGCGAGAATGGCACGTGTAAGCATATGCAGGATCTCCATGCTGACACGATCGTAGTGCGGGAAGAGGGTTCACCCAACCAAAGGAGCTACAGAACCCTAGCCTGTACATGCGTCGTCATGGACATTGAGATATCGCACGACGCTCGTACACAATCCGCCAAGCAAAATGTGCTCACCGATCGGCTGCATCTTGAAGGTGTTCGAAGTCGATGAGGCCATCTTTAAACCCAGTCACCATAGCCTCTGACACCTCTTCCGCCCTGGGGGCGTTGCCGTGCAGGCTAGAACCGCTAACGTCCGCCTCGCAAGGGTCGCCATCGGTCGAGTGTCTGCGAGTCGCACTCTTTTTGCGAGCCATCGTGATGACACGTCGATCGAACGCCGTAAGCGACTGCGCAACATACGGAAATATGTCCTCTTCGGTTACAACTCGGTTGATCTGGATCAGGAGCAGGAGAAGAGCGTAGAAGGGGCAGTTTTCGTAACCATGCACGGACGTACTGCATCGCCATAGCCCTCGACTCGGAGAGTCCATCGATCAAAATCAAATGCCGAGCGAAACCAAACACGTCGAAGTACTTTCGGAGTGCCACGGCACATCTTCTGTACCATGTTGTGTTGGTCCATATCTTTGCTGCTGCGCGGGAGTAGTTTATGCAAGAGCACCTACTGATATGTATTTTCCGACTCGCTGGTGCCATACACCTGGTGGCCGTCGCGGATACATCGAAATTTGCGAGAGTTAAGAAACGGCTTCCCACGTCGCTGCACCAATCAAACGTGCTCGCACGAGATACCGCAGTAGGGCTTCGTCAAGTGTTCGCCGGGGTCAATCTCTCTTGGTCGGCGGCATTTGGGAGCTTGCCTCGGCTCATTTGGTGAAGCTTTTCGAAGGTATGGTCAATACGCCAATCAGGTACGGACGCTCTAAGGAGCTCGCGCTCTTGCCATCCCAAGCACAGAGTGTCGTCTGGGTGAAGCAGGACACACCTGCGGAGAATGTTGACTTCGGGCGGCCAGCGAGTCGATGTCCGCAGCGTCTACAATCCCAGAGTACACCATGACGGCCTCCCGGTATTGGACAATCTCGGCGAATCCCTGGTCAAGGTACAAGCACATGAGGAATCAGCCGGTACACACTGCTGCAGGACAAGCATGGTCTGAGAAGGACATAGCGCCACGCTTTTCTGGCGATTAAAACAATGCGGGCGTGATCGGACGGCTGACGAGTGGCATGAAGAACAGTGAAGAGGCAGCCGCGCGACGCTAGCCCCCTGGTGGAGACACAAACGTCTGCACGAACCGGTGTCCACAAGAACCCGATTCTGCTGCTACAACGCGCATCACCCTCCTATGCCCCCCTCCCATGGGTACCACACACATGCTTCCGGGGATGATCTCACCCGAAGGCCTTGCTAGTATCGTCCAAAGTGTTTGCGCCACTGGTGGTTTGATGCGTAGGGGACAGTGACAACAGGGCGAAGGACGACACCTGCACCAACTCGAACTCCATTTTTGAAAGTGCGATGACTTCAGCCTACTGTACGCACAACAACATATCCTGCCCCAATCAACATCGCAGCCAACAGTTGCGCACCTTACGCCCACACTTGCGTCGGCCTCGGCCTATCGTCACCTTTCAGGGCGGCTGAAAGTTTTACCCTCGGCAGCCCTGGTACCTTTTTGTGACGTTCTGAAATGTCCTTCGTGTCGAACACGCTCCCGATCGCACCAATCGGCTTCGAGTAGCCTCATTCGATCAAAAACCGGCACTACGCACGCTGAGTGGATGGGACTATCGACTGCTGTTGGATCGTGAGGTATTACCCTAAAACGTGTGGGCCCGTTGCGTGCCGCGGTGAACTGAGCCCCTCGCGTATCCCCCGATCGGGGCTGACCACCGCCTGCTACCACAAGCGTAAGAGTGACCACTGTTTGCGCTCACGCGCCGCCTACGAATACCACGGCAAACACGAATAGCTAAACAATCTCACCATACCCACTACAGCAGTGCAGTAGGCAACATGCAGTGGCTCTCTGCATGGCAAATCCCAAAACTGCCTTGTTGCTGCTGGTGCTGATACTACGTAACCGGTGTTGTCGTACAGGAAGCTATTGGAATTGGGCTTTCGACCTTTCCTGTGTCAGTGGTCTTCGGGAACAGAGCAGTCGTCGATGCCTTAGAACCAGATTGCCAGGCAGGGAAGGAGCCCTAGATTTTGCTGTAGTCCAACAAAAAGCAATGCGTCACACTCACCGCAGGCAAGACGTCAGTCGACCCTTGCTCGATGGATGCAACCAAAAAGGAGCCCGAAAGCTTCAGGTACTCTAGAAACTGCACCTGAAGCACAGACATTCATACGTTCCGCGCGACGACAAGATGTGGGTTGGTCAAGTGACGATATACCGTGGGAGGGACCATTTCCAACCTGTGAGGTGTTCTTGACAACGGAAAAAATAGGGTGGCTACACCACCATTCGACGGGCAAGACAAGCTGTCGCATGTGTGCACACGCGGGCACAATGATCAAGGGTGGCCGCACCTTACACCAGAATCAAGCTCACCGTGTCTCCCATGAAACCGTAGAAGTATCCCAGGATCGCCCACGCCCTGAATTGATGTTGACGCGAGAACAGGACAGGAGATGGGCGGCAGCGTGAGGGGTCGAATGGGAAGGACTATCGTGTACATGAACGATTTCACAGCTTGGACTGTGAAATCGGTATAGGGGGCAAGGCACTGTGTGTGGCATACGGTACTCTTTAATTCACCTGACAGGGAAATAACATTGTGCCGGCAGCCATGGTTGTGCAATGATGAACGTGACCAAAAAAGCGAACAGAGCGCGAACGATCAACCCCGACATAAACGTGACACGCGATACATATGGCGACACTAGGCATGGATCGCGGTACAGAGTGCCCTCGTGTGTTATTTTTCCGCAGAACTCACTTGGCCACCTCGGCATCCACAGGACCAGTGTAAGCGTCCAGTGCGTCTCTTGCCAGTCGGGAGTAGTTCGCGACCTTCAACGACGTATTATGGGGTTGTTGCAATGGGAGGGCAATGGTTCGACTGCTCGAAATCATATCGGTCGGTCGCTGCACGCAACTATCAGCGGTGGTACCAAGCAAGGATGAGGAACAACGGTGCTTCTGCTCGTACACGGTAGGCCACGACAAGCACGCCACAAATTCTCACCGATTCAACAGGGCTTCCCTTCACAAGAGCCCCCACACCAACTGCACACCAAAATGTGCAAGCGGAGGGTCCGGTCGATAGTTGATTTCCCGTGGTGATACCGTCCTCGGTGAAGATGGCGCCGAACTGGCCTTGATCGGGGGAGTCGTGTCGAGCACCAGGCTGATATTGGGCAGCGGAGTGAGCCATCATCCTCATCATCGTTCCGCGGATATGACTGAGGGGCAACAGTCAACCGCACAGAAATCTTGAGTCAGGGGGACCCCTCAAAGGTACATGCAAACTGGGCTACCATCGATCGCACGAAATGTGTGGTCCTCCTCTACAATACATTGCCAACAAAAACATGGCAACAATGAGATACCGTCGGCGGCAGTGAGGAGTAGCCACTCCCTTTGTAATGTATCCAATTAAGCGTTTCCCGCACCTCCGGGTGGTGAGCGGCAGGAAGCCAACGCAGCCGAAAAAGTCACTCAGGAATACATTCTCCTGCATTCCCACAAGTCCGGTCGCCGGGGACGCCCTCAACCTGAACCTGGTACAGCAAAGGCGTCCGTTTGGACGTGGTGAGATCATGCAAAAATCCCGCGCCCGATATGACATGCAGGACTTGGGGTCCTCTTCAACGTCGAGAACACCCTCTGTCCTGCTTAAGCTCATCCCTTGCTTCCTTCATGTGTTTCATGTGTTCGAAGGTGCTGGTGGACGGTGAAGCTGACTGTAGCGAGCTACAGGTATACACCAACGAGCAACCATTTCTCCACAGAGTTTCGTCCTTTCTTTCCTGCACCCACGATCTCTTGACTCCACTGGTGCGAAGCTTGAATGCGATGGTGCACACACTTGGCGTTGTGACTCAAGCGGAGGAGGACTGTTTGCATTTCAAGCGTAGTCCAAACGACCAACAGCGACGAATGGAGACAACTGACCTCTTCAAAGGCAGGGTGCCGCAAGCCCGGAGCGCGCCAGATGACGAGTGGCGCAGCAACTCCATCGAATGCATGCTAGCAGGACCACATGAATCGTGCTGGCGCTGAGGCTGAGGCTGGTACGCCTTCCGCTTACTGTAGGTGCATTGGACATCAGCTCGTAGGCACCGGCTGTACGATGCGAGCACGAGAGGGGTCACCGCCGAACTTTACACTGATGCACGGTTTGTGTAGGGCAGCCGCTTGTGTAGGTAGGTGCGACACACTGGTGGGAATCAGGTGAGTTTGTCGCTTGTGGGACGCGGGACTAGTCAGCGCGGAGAGAATTCGGTGACGTAAGGGCTCCGACTTCCTTTTAAAGGAGTACGACCCGCACTCCATGTAGCGAAACTCCCGGCCACGGTTCCCGGCCATGGTTCAATATCTGTGTGTGGTAAGGCCCGACTACTCCGCCACTGGATTCTGTCACCACTGAATCCTCTTATGACTGACGAACGCACTTCATTTTTGTTGGACTACAGGAGCACGCAAAAACAAACGGTTGGCATCGGTTGGTTCGACAGAGGCCGAAAAGCGATTCTGACATGGTCGCCGAAACCTGAAAACAGTTTGCCTGTTTCGGCTGGGCCGACTGCTCGGGGAGACTCAGCATGGCATAGTTTTGAGAAATCAATGAAACCGATTTCGTCTTTTCAAAGTGATGTTACCTGGTGTGGTATTGTTGGTGTCGTATCTAATGTCCCGTCATTACCCAACACTTCACACGAGCTTGCATTGAGGGCAACGAATTTCACCACCGATGCTGCTTATCGCATGGTTTGTTGGCATCGTTTGTGGGTGAGCAATCTTGTATGCAGTACATAGTCGCCTTTCCGTGTAGTTCATTTGGCAACCTCGGAAGTATCTGTCGTTGGGACGTGGTGGCCTCACAAAGTTCTGTCTTTGGGATGTATGTGCGTTCACCTCTATGCGTGTGTCAGGGACCGGGCGCAATGTTTTGGGTCCAAATTACGAGTTCCCGGTCCATGCGAGTGCAGTGACGACGGTAACTCCCGCAGAAACCAATGGGGCTACGTTCATACGCGTGTGGCCTCTCTCCTGGGTGGTTCCGGTTGAATTGTCCGCAAGTACGGTCCTTTTGAAGAGATCCTCCGATCCAGAGCCGCAATAAAAAACTGTCCGGTGCAGTGTTTCATTCTCAAAAGACGAGTCCCGGGGCCTCGGCAGCACCTTCCCTCGGGGGCGCCGGCGAACAGTTCTACCGCAATGCTAGGTCACGAAGCCCAGAATATCTCGCGGAGACCCGAATCCTCAGCCAAGATAGACTACTGTACCAGGGAAAACAACATGGGCTTTGGCGGTGCAATGCTGAAGTGTACTCGGACGCGGTGTTTTTTGTCCACCATCCATGTCTCTCTCTCTCGGGTCGCACTCATGTCCCGTCGTCATGGGAAATTCCCACATCCTACCGTTTTGTAATGGGGCAGTATATTGGTTCACTTGTATGATGAAGGTTGAAGATACATTGTAAGACCCAACTTGTTTCGAAAATGACCATCAGCGCACCCACTGCTGTGTTGAACGGTAGTAACATCAATCGTGATTTTTTGCCGTGGTTTAAGGTGGTGTGTGGGGAGGTAACTGACTGCGTGATCCGGGAGAAAAGCCTCAACCGCCGCTCTTTGCGACAACAAGTGGACTCTCAAACGGTAGATGGATGTTTCCCGTGTGCGTGCGATTGTTAGTCGCTCTCCCTCTCTCGGTTGTTTTCACAATCAGTCAAGATCAAGTTTATATGGATTTTTCTTGAACCTCCAAAACTTCATGGCGAAGTTCATGTCCATGCACCACGCACCTGCAAGGCTTCTCGCCATCGCACTTTTTTTTCTTTCGGCGACACTCACGGCAGCTCTTGAACATCCCAAGACTATCCATAGCCAAGTCGAAGTCTCCGCGGTGTGCCATGTTAACCTGCGTTTACGGGGACGTGTGGTTTTGGACTTTCAGAGTCTCTCACGACGTCGCAACGGCATGCGCAAGTGGCACGAAAGAACGGTTGTGGTATCACACGATGAACACGGTAGGCAACAGTTGTTGCATGGAAAATGTGTCAATCAATACCACCGAATATCAACCCAAAAATCGCCATCCAGTTTGAATCATCCTGTGTATGGATCTGAGCCGAACGTTTGACTCCTGTGAGCAAACCACACCCTCACACACCATGAATAACACGGCACAAACATACAAGAGAGAGAGAGCAGAAAAGCAGGTTTTACAACACCTACCAATAGGCAATCACCGGCCGTCGACCGTGCGAGATGATTATTGCCCGATTACCCGGGGGACCGTTGCGAGGAAAATTAATATCCCGAGCTGGGACCCCCAGTTTCCCCATTACCCGCAGGAGCCGGAACTGCCGCAACGCGGAAACACGCAGCAAGATGTTTTCTGCGGTTTGTACGAAAACGGCAGCACTACCGATGGTTGGCAACTAACGATGCAGCCGTAAACTACGTTGACCATCTTCCGGCATCGCCCCAAGAGACACCACCAATCCCCCGCAGGGGAGCCTTGTATATGCATACATATCCATTCGCATGTCTACCCTTTTCGTGTACATATGTGATGATCACTTACTCCATATGTTGTGGGCTGAAACAGTGCTGTAACGCCACACCTACGCAATGTGCGCGTGGGCAAACATGTCTTCCAAGAAGCGGGAAAGAACTGGCCACTTGCCAGATTAGAGAATTCACGCTCTGGCTCTCGGAACATCTCCCTCATGTTTTGAAGTGCGTAAGTGTATCTCTGGGGGAGAACGGTGTATGCGAAAAAACGACTTGCTAATCCAATAAACTACATGTATATGACCTTCACTCCGAGAACGTGGGGCGCCTCATCCACCACTCATACTACACCATGGTATAGCAGGATTGGATGGTTACAACTTGTATCTATCTACACATATTTGTATACCACCGGGGCGATTACTACGGTCGTCACGACTACAATAATTATCCACGAAAGAGTAGAGAGAGAGAGGGGCTTGGCAGTCCGATCTTTGCACGCACGCAAGCTTTAGAAACAAAAACGAGCTCTGTCTTGGTTTCCGCCTTGCTTCGGACTCGAAGACCAAACAAACCAGCTCTTCGCACACACCTGCAAGATCATGACTGAAATAAACCGAACTACACAGCAGCGAGGTAAGTGGAATAACAGTAGTAGCTCCGTCATGCACATCATTACCTAGTACCGGTATTTTTCGGCAACGAGGTTGGCGTCCAGAGTAGGCTATGAAGTGGTTTCTAGTATGCATACCTGAAAGACATTGGCGTCGATAGACGGTCCCCCCTACCCCCCATATGTCACCACCAAGGGGGAGGGGGTGCTGCTTCAAACATGGTATGTCTACTCTGTAGCGCAAGGAACTCGGCAAGAGAACAACATATAACTGTACCAGTTAATACAAACCTGGTATGGAATACAAATCGTATTCAAGGATAAAACAAAAGCTACTGTTGTCTTTATGTGCTCTCACATAAACTGGTCGTTCGTCGGTACTCTGTACCAGTACCTAATCTGCACCTTACAACCCAGGCAGCAGCATTAGCAGCTAAGGATGGGGGTCATAGAAGACTGCTGATTGTACTCCAGATTTGCAAACTCGGAACTTTTTTTTTATGTTATTATGACCCAACGAATCCATCTCTATCTACAAGGCGTCCCTCCGGAGTGGGGTGAAGAGAGTACCGCGGCAGGGGGTGATGCAAGAACGTGCAAAGAGCAAACACAATTATATATTGTAGAGTACGCACTCTTCGTTCCTTCCACACTCCGCAACATTTGTTTTGCCTATTTCTGATGCTGCGTCTCTCAGCGCCGCTTATTCCAGGCCACAAAACGACATGAAATTCATCAGACAGAGCCGTATTGTCACCCGGGAAACGCACACACCCTCGCCGCAGGCGGGCGGAGAAGCTCTGTATTCGCGCGCTTAGCATGCAAACAGTATGTAGGGCAGTGACCATAGCATCATGGTGTGTGTGTCGCACATTCGGTAGGAAACAAGAGGTCACACAAAATAAGCAAAATTGCAACATACATCCACGAAGAATGGATGTGATGGTGGGACGGATCGAATGAATCCAGACAGGAGCAGCGCGTGTGTGCGTTTTCTGCAAGCATTCAAAGAAATATGGATACACGTATGCACACACAGCCAAACCACCACGCAGTACATATATACACGTACGTATTGCACCCACGACGGGGGGGGGACAAATCAAACAGACAGGTGAACGGAAAAAGAGAATACGAACTCACGTCCCAGCGACCTGGGTGCAGACAGAGCTATTTGTCGTCAAAATTTGTTCCACCACGTTCATGCAACGTCGTATGTTTGGTCCATCGTTCCGACTCCGTGCAGCTGTACCACGGGTCGTGTGTGCTTAATAGCTATGTACCACAGCGCTTGTTTGTCTGTGCCTCACCAAGAGTGAGAGCCAGGGAGGTGTAATAATGCAACATGAGAGCCAAGACCCGAGCAGCAGTATAAACAGTAGC